ATCATTGGACATACATGGTTACTGGAAAATTAATAATGTCCATCTTGACCACAATCACAAGACCAGCCCCACTAAGTCGAGGTTGTATCGATGTCATCGCGTGTTAAGTTCACATGTCAAACGAAAGCTTGAAGTGAATGACATAGCAGGAATACCATTGCATAAAAGTTTTAACTCTGTAGTTGTTGAAGCTGGCGGGTACGAGAATATAACTTTTGTGGAGAAGGATTGTCGTAACTATGTCGAGCAGGCCAGACGCCTAAGACTTGGCGAAGGGGATGCGACTGCAATACAATCCTACTTTTCTGATATGCAAGCTCAATGCTCAGGTTTCTACTTTAGTATTGACTTGGATGAGGATTCTCGATTGAAGAATGTTTTTTGGGCGGACAACAGGTCTAGGAAAGCATATGAAGAGTTTGGAGATGTCGTCACATTCGACACAACATATCTTACTAACAAATATGACATGCCTTTTGCCCCTTTTGTTGGCGTTAATCATCACGGTCAGTCAATATTGTTAGGTTGTGGTTTGGTGTCGAATGAAGACACCGATACATTTGTGTGGTTATTCAGAACATGGCTAAAGTGCATGCATGGTCAAGCTCCTAATGGAATAATTACTGATCAAGATAAAGCCATGCAAAATGCAATTGAAATAGTTTTTCCGAATACGAAGCACAGATGGTGTTTGTGGCATATTCTGAAGAAGTTACCCGAAAAATTCGGATATCACATTGAGAAAGCCGCAATATTTTCAGCCATTCATGTGTTGGTTTATGATTCACAATCATCGGAAGAATTTGAGGAAGGCTGGAGAATAATGATTGAAAAATATGACTTAAATGACAATGATTGGTTATCAGGATTGTTCGATAATCGCATTCGATGGGTGCCCTGTTACTTGAAATCCACATTTTGGGCAGGAATGTCCACAACTCAGAGAAGTGAAAGTATGAATGCCTTCTTTGATGGTTATGTACATTCAAAGACATCGTTGAAGCAATTCGTTGAACAATACGAACGAGCATTGCGAAATAAGGTGGAGAAAGAAATTCAAGCAGATTACAAATCATTCTCTCAAGTCATACCATGTGTGACGACATATGAAATGGAAAGGCATTTTCAATCATTATATACAATTCCGAAGTTCAGAGAAGTTCAAACTGAATTTATGGGAAAAGTTTATTGTGATCTAATATCTGCAGTAGACGGGCATATGGGGACGAGGTATGAGGTATGTGAGGACGTAATGTGTGGAGATCGAAGGAAGAAAAAAATATTTGTTGCTTGGTTTAACAAGGAGATATATGAAGTATCGTGTAGTTGCCATTTATTCGAGTTTCGAGGAATATTATGCAGACATGCAATCACAGTTATGATACGAAATGACGTTGTTGTGGTGCCAGATAGGTATATATTGCGACGATGGAGAAAAGATATTAACCGAGCACACACGAGGGTAGCCGTGAGCTATGATGGTTTGGGTGTTACTCTAGCCCAAAAAAGGTATGATGACATGTGTCGGTCATTCGCAGAAGTGGCCAACCTTGCAGCAGACGATGAAGAGAAATGTGTTATCATCCAATCTTGGATAGAAAATCATAAGCGAGAACTTATTTTGACAAAGGATAGTTATGGTGACACTAACACTTCACTATGTACTTCACGTCAAACAAAAGAAAATGAGAATATAAAGGATCCAAAAGCATCAAAGAGAAAAGGTGCGCCAAGGATAAAACGGAAAAAAGGTCCTCTGGAGGTCAGCTCAATGAAATCAAAGGTACATTTTAATTTAATTATAATTACATAAAATATTTTGATAAAATAACTCATTTTTTGGTTTTTATTCAGGTACGCTTAAGGAAAGTAACCAAAAATGATCCAACACCGAGACCTGATAGCATCACAACCGTTGCGCTTGAACTTTTTCCAACTGAATCAAGTTCATTTCCATGAGTTCTATAGGTTGGTTACATTGTTTGTTGGAGCATAGGTAATGGATATGATGTTGGTAGCATTTAGTATTGGAACTTTTGTTTTTATTTTGTTCCCAAGTTGTGGTTTTGGTAGCATTTATCAAACTGAAATTTTTGTTCTTCTTGTGTTATGTGTAACTTTTGAAACCGATTAGTAATGTTGGGATGCATATATTTCGCTAATGTGGTTTTAGTGGACGTACAATGTTGCTAAGAGATATCTCAGGTTTTCGGACTCTTCTGGTTAAATTTTGGTGATTGAAAGTCAAATCTCAATTTCATCTTGTTGGTGGAGCCTGGAGAGATCCTTGCCTTTCTAAGGTCACAGGTGGACTACATCATGCATACATATTTGGCTGGTATCATCGTGAGTTCCCGTACTAGCTTCTGCTCTTGGAGGGAATCGAGCATGACTACCTACTTATAAGGTCTGATGTGAACGATAACTCGAGCCACCACACGATCGACTTGCTCAGGTGGTGGGATGATATTCCACCCATATTGTATCTCGAGCGGAGGAATTAGATGTACTGGTTTGATATGTTGGTTACATGGTCTGTACACTTGCTTTTAGATTAGTGTTTGATTGCACAAAGATATACATTTTAAATATAACTTACAAAATAATCCTGCTATAATTATAATTGCATTTGTAGAATATTGTTTTGAAATAAGGAAAATTGGGGTTAAACATTTTATTGTTTTGACAAAAAACTATATTTACTGGGGGCATTATTCAAACTCTTGTGATATGTAACACAAGTGTAATATTGCTAGTTAGATTAAACTGGAATGAAGCCAAAGTCTTTTTTTTTTTTTTTTTGGAAACATTAATTTGATGATCACACTCTTCTTGATCGAGTTTTAATATAGCCTGCTGTCAAACCAAAAACAATAAACGGAAAACAATAAACCATCTACAGAATTAATAGTTGACGGAAAAGTACAATTCTCTTCATAGAAATGTTTAGTTACAAGACATTAGTGATGATAGAAAAACATAAAAGTACAACTCTCTGCATAGAAATGTTTAGTTACAAGGCATTAGTGATGATAGAAAAACACAATGACAAATCAATAGCAACAAGTAGCATCCCAACAAATATGTCAGTAGTCTTATAGACCCATGACTTTCTACACGAGAATCATTTTGAGCTTGCCAGTGAGGTCCTATGTGCAAATTCTTGGCCAAACCTCGCTTCTCGGAGTGCTTAATGTGGCAAGTCTGTTCATTCTTAATGATGAACTCGATGCCACTCGATTGCATCTTCCTTTGCATTAAAGCTATCACCCAACAACAATACTCAATTTCTCAAAACTTAAGCATACATCCAGCACATCCATCACAATTCATACAACCAGAATTAAGATAAGCAACATCAGCAAACTGAAAAAAATAAAAATAAAAATAAACCCTGGCAGGCTATTATGAATGTAGGCCCCTTACATCAAAACTTCATCTCCTAAACAGGTGTGTCACACAATATCCGTAACCAAAACACATTAGTTCTTCGTCTGTGCCTATGCGCAAAGAAGAACTCGAGCATTTTAATGTGCAGAGGCTTAGTATTATACTTCTTGATAGCCTGTGTTTAGCTAGACTTTTGGAAATGTAATTCAACTAGGTCTCGTCAAGACTCAAAGCGGTCAAGCACTTGCTCTTTTATCTTCAATTGCGTGGGCTATCTCCCAATTTGATGTCGTCATCTCCTTTAGAACTAACCCCCTCGTTGTCTTCCTCGCATCTGATTGCTTTAACGATTCCCCGGCGAAAGAATCCCAGACCCGAACTCGGGGTTAACCTCCCAGAAAGAGGTGTGCCATTTATCTATAATAAACCATATTCCTCAAGCAACACGAACAACAACTCTTTATTCAATTGAAGAAAACTAACATCCGAATCACTCAATTAAGAACACCAGAAACAATCGCGTGCCTTCAATTGAGTGTGGGCTGCGATCGAGATACGAGAAAAGAATGAACTAAAGAGAACTCAAAAAACAACGGCGCGCCTTCGATCTTGTGTGCGGGATGAGAAATAGAGAAACGAAAAAAAAAATTTGAAATGAAGAGTAATTGGAAGAAAATTGTGGCCCTTCACTTTTTCTTTCAAAGAAATGGGTGCAAAGAAATCGGCCGACTTGTAGGGTAGAAGGAGAGAGGGTTGGGGAAAATGATGTTGGAATTTGAAGAGAATGAATTTTTCATTAACTTTTTTATTTGTAGGTTTGTACTTTTTATTTTTATATATTTGTTGCCACATCATTTTGTAACCCAATTATGTAAAGTGACTTGGGCACTGTAGCGGGACCGATTCAAAGGATATGTTCCAAAAAAGGTTTTAAGGTTTTTTCTAACAGATTATGATTACCAATAAGATAAGATCTGAATTAAATATTCCAAATTAAGCTCGTTGGATCAAATTTTCTATTGGTGACTACAATATAATCATCAATTTATTACCGTTAAATCAACAAATACACACATTCTCGTAAATTTATTCCAACAATACACTAATGAGTGAAATTTTCTAACATCACATACTCATAATTTTCCCCGTTTTATCGAACAAAACAAATCACATATTTGTTACATATTTCCCCCTTAGAAGAAAGACTTGTTTGTTGAGTCAAAATAAAGGCTGCGCCCATTTCTTTTGACAGCACACAAAGGAAGAAACAAAAATTGAAACAGCCTTTTGTTGAAAAATGCATGTGAAGGCATTAATTATTGCTGCTGGACGTGATCAACTTATGGACAAGTTAATGAACTCTTCCACTATAAATACAAGGCTAATGAGGGCTTCAAATACACAACGAAAAGAACCAAATACAGAGAGAAAGAGAGAAAAAGAAAGGGAGTAGAAAGCAAAAGTTTTAACTTCTGTGTGTATTTGAGTTGTGAGTTGTGAGTGGTTTCGAGAGTGTTTTGTAAACACGAGTGTATTTTCTTTTTCCCAATAAAATATCTGCAGTAGTCCGGAGACGTAGGCATTATTGGCCGAACTCCGTTATCAATTTGGTGTGTCCAATTTTTATTTTTATTTCACTTTTATAGATTCGACTTCATGGAAAATTCAGCGTATTTTTCCCAACAACTGGTATCAGAGCCAGATTGTTAATTCTGTATTTTTTTTGTGTGGTGTTACTATTCCGTTGAAAAACGTGAATAGTACCAATTTTGTCGGCGCTACAATTTATCTACCGACGTGTTTTGAAACACGGTAGTTCACAAAAATTACATAAACGATCCGGCAGAGAAGTCAGATCAGAATCGAAGTGATGGCTGCAGACGAAGGAAAAATGAAAATTGAAAAGTTCGACGGTGCGGACTTTGGCTTCTGGAAGATGCAGATCGAGGATTATCTGTACCAGAAGAATATGTATCAACCACTCACAGGAAAGAAGCCAGAGGACATGAAGGAGGAAGAATGGAGTCTCCTTGACAGACAAGCTCTTGGAGCCATTCGGCTGACGTTATCCCGTAATGTTGCTTTTAACATTGCAAAAGAAAAGACGACAGCAGGCCTCATGAAGGCTCTTTCCAACATGTACGAGAAACCATCGGCCTCAAATAAAGTTCATTTGATGAGGCGATTGTTCAACCTTCGGATGACCGAAGGTGCTTCGGTGGCACATCATCTCAATGAGCTCAACACCGTCACAACCCAGTTGAGTTCAGTTGAGATCGAGTTCGATGATGAAGTACGGGCTTTAATACTTTTGTCTTCCCTGCCAGAAAGCTGGAACGCTACGGTCACGGCTGTGAGCAGCTCATCGGGAAACAATAAGTTGAGATTTGATGATGTTCAAAATTTGGTTCTCAGTGAAGAGATCCGGCGGAGAGAGTCGGGTGAACCATCGACCTCTTCTGTATTGCATACAGAGTCAAGAGGAAGAAGTTCAACCAAAGAAAGCAGACACAACAAATCAAAAGGAAGAAGATCCAAGTCCAGAAATCATCGTAGTTCCCAAACCTCGAAGTCGATCGAGTGCTGGAATTGTGGGAAGACCGGGCACTACAGAAACCAGTGCAAGAGTGCACCGAAGGGTCAGGAGGCAAAAGAAGAGGCAAATGTTGCCTCATCCTCAGGAGGAGATATGCTGGTATGTTCTTTGGAGAACAGAGAAGAGTCTTGGGTGTTAGACTCTGGAGCATCCTTTCATGCTACCTCACAGAAGGAACTACTCGAAAATTATGTTCCTGGTAACCTTGGTAAAGTTTACCTTGGTAATGAGCAATCATGTGAGGTTGTAGGGAAAGGTGCAATAAAAATCAAGCTGAGCGGGTCTGTATGGGAATTGAAAAATGTTAGACATATTCCCGACCTGACGAAGAATTTAATCTCCGTGGGCCAGCTAGCCAGTGAAGGCTACACGACAATCTTCCATGGTGATGATTGGAAGATTTCAAAGGGTGCGATGACAATTGCTCGAGGCAAAAAGAGTGGTACTCTTTACAAGACCACAGGAGCATGTCATCTGATTGCAGTTGCAGCAAATGAAAGTCCCAATCTATGGCACCAAAGACTTGGGCATATGAGTGAAAAAGGGATGAAGATCATTCACTCAAAAGGAAAATTACCAGGCCTCCAGTCAATAGAAATTGACATGTGTGAAGGTTGTATACTTGGAAAGCAGAAGAGAGTCAGCTTTCAAACAAGTAGAAGAACTCCAAAGAAGGAGAAGCTTGAGCTCGTCCACTCTGATGTTTGGGGTCCAACCACTGTCCCATCCGTTGGTGGGAAGCAATACTTCGTGACTTTTATCGATGATCACTCCAGAAAGGTATGGGTTTACTTTCTGAAACACAAGTCAGAAGTATTTGAAGCTTTCAAGATTTGGAAAGCTATGGTGGAAAATGAGACAGGCTTGAAGATCAAGAAGCTCAGATCCGACAATGGTGGTGAATACGTAACCACCAGATTCAAGAAGTTTTGCTATGAGCACGGGATCAGAATGGAGAGAACCGTGCCTGGTACGCCTCAACACAATGGTGTAGCTGAGCGTATGAATCGAACGTTGACTGAAAGAGCCAGAAGCTTGCGTGTGCAGTCAGGCCTACCAAAGCAGTTCTGGGCAGAAGCAGTCAACACAGCAACTTACTTGATCAACCGAAGTCCATCGGTACCACTGGATCACAAGTTACCAGAAGAGGTATGGAGCGGAAAAGAAGTAAAACTCTCACATCTTAGAGTTTTCGGGTGTGTAGCATATGTGCACATCAGTGATCAAGGTAGAAACAAACTTGATCCAAAATCAAAGAAATGTACTTTCCTTGGTTATGGTGAAGATGAGTTTGGCTACCGCATATGGGATGATGAAAACAAAAAGATGATCCGCAGCAGAGATGTCATCTTTAATGAAAGAGTGATGTACAAGGACCGGCATAATACAGGTGCCAGCAACTCAGAAGCGAGTGGGCCAGTTTATGCTGAGGTGGAAGATATCCCAGACAGTCCTATAATGAGGAGTCCTCAGTCAGAGGAATCAAATGAAGAAAGTGATGTGCAATCAGAACCTCCTACTCCAGCTCCTGTATTGAGAAGGTCCTCTCGGCCCCATGTGCCTAACAGGAGATACATGGACTACATGCTGCTGACTGATGGAGGGGAGCCTGAAAGTTACATGGAAGCTTGTCAAACCACAGATGCTAGCAAGTGGGAGCTTGCCATGAAGGACGAGATGAAGTCCTTGATCTCAAATCAGACATGGGAACTAGTCAAGTTACCTATGGGAAAGAAAGCACTTCACAACAAATGGGTGTATCGAGTGAAGGAAGACCATGATGGTTCCAGGAGATACAAAGCCCGACTGGTTGTCAAAGGATTTCAGCAGAAAGAAGGAGTTGACTATACTGAAATCTTTGCTCCAGTTGTAAAGCTCAATACTATCAGGACGGTGTTAAGTATTGTGGCTAGTGAAGAGCTCTACCTAGAGCAATTAGACGTGAAGACTGCATTTCTTCACGGAGACCTAGATGAGGAGATCTATATGCACCAGCCTGAAGGATTTTCAGATGGAAAGAAGGATATGGTGTGCAAATTGAAGAAGAGCTTGTACGGCCTGAAACAAGCTCCAAGACAGTGGTATAGGAAGTTCGAAAGCTTCATGCACAAGGAAGGTTTCCAGAAGTGCAATGCTGATCACTGTTGTTTCTTTAAGAAGTATGAGTCCAGCTATATCATCTTGCTACTTTATGTCGATGACATGTTAGTAGCAGGATCAGATATGAAAGACATCAGAAAATTAAAGATGCAGTTGTCAAAAGAATTTGACATGAAGGACTTAGGCCCAGCAAAGAAGATTCTTGGAATGCAAATCACGAGAGATAAGCAAAAGGGAGTTTTGCAGTTATCTCAGGCAGAGTACATCAACCGTGTTTTGCAGAGATTTAACATGGACAAGGCTAAGCCAGTCAGTACACCTTTGGCCAGCCATTTTCGTCTATCCAAGGATCAGTCTCCTCAAACAAAAGAAGAAGAAGAGTTCATGGCTAAGATTCCTTATGCTTCAGCCATTGGAAGTTTGATGTACGCGATGGTCTGTACGAGGCCAGACATTGGCCATGCAGTGGGAGTTGTGAGCAGGTTTATGTCAAAACCAGGAAAAGCTCATTGGGAAGCAGTCAAATGGATTTTGAGATATCTACGTGGCACAACAGAAAAATGTCTGTACTTTAGAAAAGGAGATCTAAAGTTACAGGGCTACGTAGATGCAGACTTTGGAGGTGAAGTTGATCACCGAAGAAGTACCACCGGTTATGTTTTCACTGTCGGAGCTACAGCTGTTAGTTGGATGTCGCGGATACAAAAGATTGTTGCTCTATCCACTACAGAGGCTGAGTATGTAGCAGTGACAGAAGCCAGTAAAGAATTGATATGGCTTCAAGGATTGTTAGCAGAGTTGGGTTTTGCTCAAAAGGAGAGTGTCTTGCACAGTGACAGTCAGAGTGCAATACATCTGGCAAAGAACTCAGTGTTTCACTCCAGAACTAAGCACATCGATATACGATATCATTTCATCAGATCTCTTCTCGAGGATGAAGTGCTGACTTTGAACAAGATTGTAGGAAGCAAGAATCCAGCAGATATGCTAACGAAGGTGGTAACCATTGACAAACTGAAGTTGTGTTCAACTTCAGTTGGCTTGCTAGGATAACAGACCGGAGAAGACTACTGCAGTAATTGAGGTGTGAGGGCAGATTGAAATCAGTCCTCAAGTGGGAGATTGTTGAGTCAAAATAAAGGCTGCGCCCATTTCTTTTGACAGCACACAAAGGAAGAAACAAAAATTGAAACAGCCTTTTGTTGAAAAATGCATGTGAAGGCATTAATTATTGCTGCTGGACGTGATCAACTTATGGACAAGTTAATGAACTCTTCCACTATAAATACAAGGCTAATGAGGGCTTCAAATACACAACGAAAAGAACCAAATACAGAGAGAAAGAGAGAAAAAGAAAGGGAGTAGAAAGCAAAAGTTTTAACTTCTGTGTGTATTTGAGTTGTGAGTTGTGAGTGGTTTCGAGAGTGTTTTGTAAACACGAGTGTATTTTCTTTTTCCCAATAAAATATCTGCAGTAGTCCGGAGATGTAGGCATTATTGGCCGAACTCCGTTATCAATTTGGTGTGTCCAATTTTTATTTTTATTTCACTTTTATAGATTCGACTTCATGGAAAATTCAGCGTATTTTTCCCAACATTGTTTTGCATTATGCATGTTTATATGCCATTTCTTGCTTATGACAAACTTTGAGTTAATTCAACTGATAATAACTTAACAAACAATAACTAACTGAAAATACACTTAGTCAATTACATTCACAGACTATGTTTGCTTTGACCAACTTAGTTTTAAGTAATTTATACTTTTGCCACATTTGCTCATCATATTTTTTGGCCAAACCCAATAAGAACCAAAACTTAATCACTTTATAAGCCTTCACCTTTTCAGCATGCTAATAAAATGTTGGGTATAACTTTAAATTGTGGTCCAAATTAATTTTGGTCAAACTTTCTTATTTCTGTCTAAAACTATGGTTTTGCTCGTGTTTTCATTTTAATTAATGTTTTCAACAACCAATAGTAAATCATTAAGTTGTATAGGTAGGCTAATCAATAAATTAGGCTGCCAAACTGTGTTTAGTGCATAATAATTGAGTGTTAACTTTTAAGTTCAACTGCTTATATGATTTCACTAATATATTTCCAATATTCAATTTGCTTGACGGGTGCGGTCCACGAACAAAGCGCACCAAATCAGGGAAAATCAATTGATGGTAAGAGTAGTCCACTAAACTTATAAGTTAAGTCTATTTTCCCTGTATAAACGATGTGGGACAACTTACAAGTTTGCATGACAAGGAAAATAGACTTACAATTTGATTCACTTTGCAAGTTTGCATGACAAATAAAATCGTCCTTTGTATAAACGATGTGGGACAACTTACAAGTTTGCATGACAAGGAAAATAGACTTACAATTTGCTTCACTTTGTAAGTTTGCATGACAAATAAAATCGCCCTTTTTATTGGGTAGAATAAGAACTTTTTATTTTTGCCCAAAAATGACCCGTCACTTTGCAATTTGTATGTTTATAATGTGACAGCGGTTATAAACTCCATCATTAAATTGTCAATAACCAGAAATAATAATAATAATAATAATAATAATAATAATAATAATAATAATAATACTTTATAGTATTTTGTTTAATAATAAATTATATAAAACAAATACAAAAAAAGTTGTGGACAAAATTCTCTAATCTTAACCCGAGAAATCACGACACACACCCCCTCTAATCTCAGCTTCTCGTCCAAGAAAAGGAAACAAAATTGGTGTTAAGAAAAAAAATATTAACAAACTCAGAGCTCGACGATGGCTGTCAGTTGACAGATGAAGATTTCAGTTACCATTTTACCTGTCTTAGTCTCCCCAAATTGAGCTCTCTTTTTAACCTCCTTAAAAGTTCACAGAAAACAGTGTTCGTATCTGTTTATCAATCGCTCACATTTTGATTTAAGCTTTATTTCCGATTTCTTTTCGAATTAATCAAGAATTGTAACTTCTGGGTTTCGACCCTCTTTTTCCACTTTCCGATTTAATCGAATTATGGAGGCTGATGGAGGAAAATATTTGGTGAAAGAAAGTGATGAGGACTTTTCAAGAAAGGAAGGCTCTGTTGATTTGTCGCCTCCTTTGGTGCCAAAGGTATAATTTTTTGTTTATCCCTTTTTATTTAGTTTTTATATACTGTAATATTTCTGCAGCTAGGTTNGAATTTGAGTACTTTCTTGTGATTGTTTGTTGAGTTTAGTGTCCAGAAAGTGTAAAGGTTGTAACTTTATAATCTTGTACACTGCATTCTGTTGTACAACTTTGGACCTCTTAATGTGGAGTTAATGTATTTGTTTGAGATTATTGATCTCATCTGGTTTGTGATTGAAAGTTACCATTTTTTGTTTCTCCTTTTTATTTTTAGTTTTATTTTTTTCTATTGCTGTGATATTTCAGAAACTGGGTCGAAATTCCGCAGCTGTGGTGTTTTTTTGTGTATTCTCATTGTGAATTTGAGTATGTTTTTGTGATTGTTTATTAAGTTTTAGTGTTCAGAAAGTGTAAAGATTGTAACTTTAAAATCTTGAACACTGCATTAAAATCTTGTACACTGCATCTGTTGTAGTACAACTTTTCAATCTCTTAAGTGTGAAGTTAATGTATGTGTTTCAGATTATTGAACACATCTGGTTTGTGACTGAAAAGTTATTTTCTGTCGGCTTTAAAATCATTGTTTTGCATAAATAGTTATGATGCATAGTAATTTGTGAGAGATTCTGAATATATGTCAGAATAATATTGTTCACATGTCTTTTTGCATATTATAATTCAACAAAGCTGCATTTGGATGGAATGTTTTAAACCAAAGGATTTGAAAATCCGTAATAACGAATCCTTTCAGCTCGTCTGGATAAGATCAATCCTTAGCTCTTAATTTGAGTTCGGAATTATTGTGCTATGTCATTTGAAACCATTTGCAGAAATCCCTCCTCAAATCCAATTCTACCTTAACTCATTTGCTTGTTTTACCTTTTTAAAGATTTACATAAGGAGCAAAAATATATATAAAACACGCTCATATCCTCTTTTCCCCCCTTTGCTTCAAAATTTCATGTTAATGACTTTAGGCCCGACAATCAAGCGAAATAGTAGCCGAAGAACAATCGAACAATGAGCAAATCCCCAGTCAAGACTTAATTTTTAATACAAAACCCGACAAGCCAATAGTCGAGGGAGATTGTGTGATGATAAACACCCCAAAGAGAGTAAATTTCTCCCCACTTCCCAGCCCAAACCGAATAAGAATAATCGATTCTCCTGGCCCTTCCACATCCCGAGGAATATCCACCGTGAAATATTTTATTCCGAAACTGAGCTTCAAATTCCGGAACACAAATGCCGAGATCGAGAAGGCTGCCATGCTGGCACTCGGGGTTTCCCCTGAAACACAAAGGAAGACTTCAATTGCTCGGACATTCTCGCTGAGTAAGATTTTCACGCAAAAGATAAAAAGGACTTCGTCTTTACCAGCCACGCCGATTTTGCACTCGAATCCGGAATCTTCTCATGGAGGGATTATTGCCAGCACTTCATCTGATTCAGCTGTGAGTAGCATTTTCTCTTTTCAAAATTCAGATTATCGGCTATTAGCTTTAACTTTTGTTATTTAAGTCATGTTGCATTTATACTTTTGTTATTTTTCTCCAAAGCCTTCACTTTATCAGATAATAGAAAAATATAATAAAATTTAGTCTCGTATAGCTTTTCTGCATTAGAATTTCCTGAAATGCAATTGATAATATTTTAAAAAATGCAGTTGATAATATTATTTTTGTAATTGGCTGATAAAAGACATTAATTTCATTAGAATGAATTCATCATTTTTTTCTCTGACTTTGGTCTTACAGATAAATTCGTCATTATGCAGAAAGGTGGGCCCAAGCTATCCATTCACCGTTCGCATTCAGTACCCGTTTTCAATTTAGGCAGTGTATACCGTATAATCCCTTCTACTCGCAAGTCAATCGATCAGAAAGTGGACACATCAATGCCAAATGCAACTCACAGTGGTAAAGTTTTAATTAAATTAAAGATATTTCATCAAATTCGGTGAATTCTTGGAAAAAAAAAAGCTATTTCGAAGATTTTTAGTAAGTCGAAGTACAATTGTGTCCAGATGAGAACAATAATTTTCCGGAAGACATACCTCAAGAGGAAGCTGTTTGTAGAATCTGTTTAGACGAGCTGAGTGAGAACTCGAACACATTGAAAATGGAATGCAGCTGTAAAGGTGAACTTGCATTGGCCCACCAAGAATGCGCGATTAAATGGTTCAGCATAAAAGGAAACAGAACTTGTGATGTCTGCAAGCAAGAGGTTAAGAATCTGTCGGTCACACTTTTACGGGTCCAAAATTGCGAAAATCGAGGAAATGGGTCACTCCCGGCTGTAATAGGTCGATATAGGTAAATACATTTTTACCTTTTTCAAATCATTTATCAACGTTGAAGTAAATCTTTTTGCTAATGCAAATCTCTCTATTATTGTAGGGTTTGGCAGGATGTTCCGATTCTTGTGATTGTTAGCATGCTTGCATATTTTTGCTTTTTGGAGCAACTATTGGTAAGGGAATTCGTTTTATTGTATTTTATTTTTCAAGATTCACTTTTTATTGTATTTATTTCATTTTTCCTCTTTATATATTCAAGTGATAGTTTTTTAGTTGTCATGCAGGTTAAGAGACTTGGATCGGGTGCAATTGCAATATCGTTGCCCTTTTCGTGCATTTTAGGTCTACTCGCATCTATGACTTCTACTACCATGGGTAAGCTGTTTTTTGACTTTTTACTTTTTACTCATCAAAACTCAAGGCATGAGTTATGAGTATTATCTCTTTATGTACTCGTTTATTTTCCTTTTCGGCTCATTTTGTTGCTCTTTTTTATTTTATTTTTTTTGTAGTAAGGAAGAGATACGCCTGGGTATATGCGACTATTCAGTTTGTGCTGGTCGTTCTTTTTGCTCATATTTTTTACTCCGTGGTAAGTTTCCACACCATTGGCCATTAAACCAAATTGACATTGAATATCAGTTATCTTTGAAAATGTATTTAATACACCGTTAATTTGTTGCAAACACACCCTTGAGATGTTTATATGCCCCACAGATGCAGTCCAGAATAAGAGGCAATTTTTGAAAAAGCTGTAAAGATCAAGGAGATATTTGCAATTTTAAAAACAGTAGGGCATTTCTGCATGGAGTCTTAAAATCTTTTAGCNCAGGGAAAAAAAAAAAAAAAACACAGTTCTGAGGAATTTAATACTGAACCATTTTACGTGCATATATAGCTTCATGTGCAAGCCGTTCTATCAGTTCTGTTGGCGACTTTTGCTGGTTTTGGAGGTGTAATGTGTGGAACTTCAATTATTTTCGAGATTCTCAAGTGGGTCAGAACATGGAACCTTCCGCCACCTTCCGGAGCCAATTCTTCTCAGTCTAACATAGATTTAGAGGCCGGCAATGTGGGCCCAACGAATTCTCAGCCCACTCAAACCGAAGCACGGAACCAAGGTATTGGCCCTAGTAGCTGATTCGGGCTTCAAATGGTACACATATTCACAGTTGTACAGAACTATTTGCTCACACTTCAAAAACTACATATTTTTCGGTACATTGTGTGTTGGCGTGTGAAGAACCCACCAAATTTGCGATTCGACATGGCAAAGAAAGCCATGTCGAAATAATTTGTTGCATTGTGAAAAAAAAAATGTTCGTTATCGAACAGGTGTCTCTTTACTCAGTTGTCTTAACAGAAAAAGTTTGTAGAGAGTGATTAACTTTGTGTCTGAATGCTTGTTGTAAGTAGTTTTAGAATGGACATGAAATTGAATGATTGTCAAACCTTTCTGTGAAAACATATCATTTAAGCCCTCAATAAAAATGATCACGAGCCAATAACCAANAAAAAAAAAAAAAAAAACTCCATTATCCTTTTCATGACAACTGCAAAAAGCTCTTTCTTATGCACAAACCTCCAATTGTTTTTTTTCCTTAAGGTCATTCATTACTTGTAGCCGGGCCCGAAGCCCGTTTTCCCAAAATCGGGCCTCATCCAAATCTTGATATGGCCCTCACGGCAGATTGTGAGTAGAGAGTCGCGAGAGAATATTAAACCCGAGAGAGGCTCCGTGTGAACACGATGGGCCACCACAGGTGAAAGCTTTGGGACATCTCGCATGCTTGGGGCCGGCTGTAAAGTGCCAGCCTGGCAGGCGGCATCCCAGTGGGCCGATTGGCTGCCGGCACTCAAAGTGGGGGACCCACCAGCTGGACGGCGAACAGGAACCACGAGTTCATCCATCTCTAGGTCCCATAATACCAATTGTGTGTCCTGCATAAAACAAAATGGCCAAGTGTCAGAGTTTACAAATAAACCCTTAAGGTTTGTATTTATTAAACTGAGGGTACCTGACCGACAGAACCAAAACGATAAACGACATTTTCGGCAATTCCGTCTGAATTGGGAGACACCCAATACGAATCAAATGCCACTCCACTAACCTGTCTTTGTCGAGTAAGAGATGTGTAAGAGAGCCATTTAAGTAAGCAAAGACTTAATTGTGAAAGCTATTTGGGTTTTGGACCTTTGGTATGAGCTTCACAGAAAGCTTGTGCAATGCTATTATTTTTCATACTTACCCATGAGTTGTGTCCTTCACCCCATGCCACAATCTTTCGCTCCTCCATACTCCATACTTGAACTAGGTCATCTTCACCACCAGTCAAAATGTATTTTCCATCCATGCTGTTTTATTGCATATCAGAATTCAAAGTTCTCGTAATATTTGTCCACAAATCTAATTCTAGAAAGAAGGTCTTGTACTGAGGAGAAGCNAAAAAAAAAAAAAAAACATATTTCAGTAGATAATTAATGGCATTCACCTCCATGCGCAACATAATAGAGCACCATAATAACTTTTCCCGCCACATAGGAGTTGCTCATTTTTGTAATCAAAGACTCGCAGATAACCTGCATTCATCAACTTCTTGTAAACCTTTAAATGTTGTCTGTGGATTTCTAACAAAGCAAGCCATGTTTGAAGATGCTCGACGTCAGAAGCCCCAATACGAAGAAAAAATAAAATAAAATATATATATATATATATCATACCGTCCCTTCCTACAGTTGCTAAATAAGAACCATCTGCCGAAAATGCAATGCCATTTATTAGACCTTGGCAAACATGCCATCGAGCAACTGGGTTCTGAAAAGAACAATATTCAGATTCAGTGCTACTTAGTACTGATACACACCAGCTATTAACTAGCACAAATTTGATACTCAAACAAACAATTATTCAACTTCAGCCGAAAAAAAGGTATATTTGATCAAGTAAAAAGACCGTGTTGGAAGCCTCTAAAATTAACGTTTTACAGCTAAACAATCCACAAATTAAACTGAAAATTGAAAATGGTTCCATTATGATATAAATGATTTTAACCACCCTAGGAAATGAAAATCCAATTCCAAAAATGGAATCACGAACAGAAAACAACTACCAATACCTTACTATATCGTGCATGTGATACAGAAAATTGAGTTTGATCCTTGATCACAGGGAATGAAGGATCGCCAGAGCCATCTTTATTCTAAAAACAAAAGGGGAAGACATAAATTCCAAAAACTATGGATTAAAAATATGACCGAACTTAATTCACAAAAGAAAGTTCCAAACTTACCTTCTCATATACATATATATTACCATCTGCGTGTGCAGCAACAAATGAGCCATCACCATTGGGAATCCATGCAATACCAGTACAACGACTGTAACATGAAAACAAAGCAATTGATCAGCAAGTAATTCAAGGACTTTTAACAGATATATCACTATACAAGTTTGATAGTACTGATAAAATTAAGAAAACTTTTTGCAGACGATTATTCAAAGTGCACCCAGTAAACTCAAAAAGACAACTATACTCTAGCAAAATATCATTGCAAGGGAAAAGGAAATAAGCAAAGGAATCAATTTCTTGCCTATTATTAACAGAACCATCTTTATTATAGTGCTGAGCCCCCACAAGCTTCTTACCAACATCTTGTAATTGTTGTCTAAGAGATACTGAATAAACTACAACAACAACAAAAAAACATAGAGATTGGAATCTATCGAACACTTTGTAAATCAAATCCTATTAAAATTGTAGGACCAAAAGCATACCATCTCCAGAGTTCAGACCAATTAGCAAATCATGCCCATCTTTAGCGTCAGGATCATATGCGTGGCAAACAGGATTCGAATTACTAAAATGTATAGACTTTACAGGATCCTATGCAGCACAACAAAACCCTCTAAATCAATTCAAACGATGATTTTAATTAAAGAAAAAAAAAACAATAATAATAATGCAAATAACCACTAAAGTACCTTATCCTGAGAATTTAAATCGCTCAAGAAAATCGCATCACCAACATTGAATACCAAATATGTCCCTTTCCCCTCAAAATTCAGATTGCCATTCACACTACTCGAACTTGCTCCTGAGGATCCTATTCTAGTGCCATTCCCATTGCTCGGTTTACTTCCCCCATTTCCTCCGACAAAACTAAGTGCCTTACTCCCATTCCCACTACCCAACAACCTTGCAGCTGCTGACTTTACACCACTGCTTACACCCAAACTCGAAGATGATTGAGATGGAGCCTGCATTGGCTTTTCCTTGAGATGGGCTAGTGTCACCTGAACCAAATTTAACTTTTCAATTCAAAATCTGCCAAGCCCTTGAACTGTTAATCCAATCTTCCAGAGAAGAAAAAATNCAAAGAGCAAATAAACTATTAGAGCTTACTTTCAGTCCAATTCATGCCGAACCAAACACCATCGATGTTAATTTTTATACAGTAAACAATCATAAAAAAACACAATAATCAGCGGAACAAGAATCCCCAAAATGCAAAAAAATTCACTCCCAAAACAAAAAAGAAAAGGGGAAAAAAAAAAGCCCTAGAAGATGGCGATGATTTTGACCAACCTGAGTGACGGTTTTGCCGTGGGCGTAGTGAAGGAGGCCCGTCGGGTAAGTCTTCTCGTACTGGAGCTTGTACTTACCCTCGGGGGTCTTGAAATAAGTCTTCAGGCCCGGCGACGGCGCGTTGTTCCCAGACGCCGGCGCCGATGACATCAAATTGTTGCTCGGCCCGCTGTTTATCATCTCTTTCAGGTCTCACCCCCACACCAAAATTGAATCTAACAAATAAGTTTCTTCAACAACTTTACGAGCCGAAAATTGAACGAGATCATGTATGCGAAAAGGGGTTTTCTTGTTTTTTCCTAAAAAAAAGTAAATAAATAAATTTGATGGCTCTGAGTCTGAGCTGTGCTTTAAAGCCTTTTCACGCGGTGGGCGGAATTTTGTGCCAAATGGGTTTTTGACCTTCTTTTTAAGGTTTTTTTCTGTTAAATTCTCTGGTCTTCGATAATTTTTATTTTATTTATTTATTTATTGCTTGGGTTGATCTAGTCTAACTGTGGAAGAGATGAAGTGCTTTGTCTTCTTAAACAGTTGAAGTTAGTTAAAAGATTAATAAACAAACAGCCATATTCTCTCATCTCTCTTTGGATTTCGTTTTTTAAGGTATATCAAGGATGCATTTGTGTTTTTCGTTAGATTTGTCTAATTGTTTCATGTTTTGAACTGAAATTTTAGATTTATTTTATGTTTTGAACTAGAATTTTTAGATTTGAGAGCTTGGTATATTGGTTTTTGTTATGCTAATGTATTGAAGATTTTTCTTTAAAGTTGATTATCGGAGGTGCCGAGTGTGGTGGCAGTTTGTTAGATATTAGTCGACAGGTGTAAAATTAGCAAATTAAATATCATTTATAAGTTTACCTGTTAAAGTCACTAGCTAATTAATTTGTTTGGTAAAATATAGCATTTTTTTTTTTTGTTTTTCGAGTCAAATTCTTTGATTCTCAAAAAGCTCAATTTATATACGTTTTGAGGAGAAGAAATTCGTAGAATAAAGTGTCAAACGTAAAATTTAAAATAACTATACAATTAGATATTTATTAAATAATTATTTACAAATAGTTAATATAATTTGTTAAGGCAATCATCTATCTGCTATTCCTATTAGATAATAGTGAAACAAGTTCATTTGATGGTGTGGTTTTATTTTGTGTTTGTTCTAGTGTTTTTTTTAGTTACGCTTTTATTATGGTTAGTCATCCATGAGTTTGTATTTGGTATCACCAAATAGGGAGTGTGTATTTGTACTTTATGCTTTAATTGTTATTTTGTTTAATTCTCTTTTCGTTTGTGTTATCCAATGAGATGATCTAACAGCATTTGTTTTTAGAAGAAAAACAACCGTACCTTTCAAAGGAAAATAAAATTTACAGGCAAGAGGATGATGATGATGAGACATCCATTTCATGTCGTCCATAATAAAACCACAACCAGGTAAGTCATGGGGCATGAAAGCTAGTCTAGTTAGACTCTATATAGGTTTCTTTTATTGTTTCTAGAAGAAAACAAAAAAGAAAAAAGTAATTTTTTTTAGGAGATGCAGAATAATTAGTTTAATATAAAGTTGTTATAAATATGAAGAAATAAATAAAGAAATGAATTTAGAAATCGAATATACGTTATATTGAATTTTCTGCATTTGTGTTGCCTTTTACAGGCAACTTGTACCCACACTATACAAAATTCTATAACACAAAAATTTTATCATTCTGTAATAGAACAATACATTATGAATACACTACATTTGGTACTTTGATCAGAACTATTATGGTTCCATTATAAATTTGTACAAAGTAAGAGCACATTTAATCACGTTTCTGATTACTTGGAGTTGCAACAAGCCGAGTTCGAACTCTTAATACTTGAACTCGTGCTCAGCTTTTATCTGCTTGGTTTGTTAACTAGAGCGATAAACGAATATGAGTTTGACTTGTTTATAACAAATAAACGAGATAAGCTAAGTTAATGATATATATATATATATATAACTCTATTTCTCAAGCATAATAAGGCATCGTTAACTATGAGCTCCGGATGTTTAATTTGGTGGAGAGTGATGGGGGTGTATTCAATTGGGATTTCAAATGACATTTTGAGACTTCTTAAGATTTTTTGTGAAATCTTAGTCCGGATGTGTGATTTGAAGTGAAATTTCGTATAAGGTTTTTCTTTAGAAATCCCATCAAATCTTAAAAAATCACAAAAATCTTATTCTCAAATAAGTTTAATACCTCAAGATTTTGTAAGATTTTTTAAAATCTCAAATTAATATATCTAGATTTTAAAAGGTCTTAGCAAATCTAAATTGAATACACTAAGATTTTTAAAGTTTTAAAAAATCTTTAGAAATTTCAATTGAATACACCTTAAATGACATAAGTTCTAATTGGGCCTATTAATTCAACATAATATTGGTGGACAACACTGTCCAAGTTTTTAAATGGGCATCAATAAGACTAGTTGTAAAAGAAAACTCAACACTATGGAAATTATCATTTTTCCAGCTTGGACGGCCCAATTATTCCTAGTAAAGATTTTTTTTCCTAGTAAAGATACACTACACTTGGCAGTTTATTCATGATTGAAATGAGGCCCAATGTGGGGTGAGATGGGCTGTCTCCTAGTTTCAATGAATGGGAGTTGCTTTTTATTTATTTACTTATTTTCTGGTTTTATTTCATTTAACATGATTTTTTTAGTCCAATTATAAAAATTTCAAAAGTTTAAGTATCATAAAGTTTAATCACTTAAGGTTATAAACTTGTAAATACAACTTATCTCAACAGTATTTCAAATAAAATTTAATCTTGCCGTGAGAACCGTACTTGATGTTACTTTTTATAACACATGATGCTATTATTTTAGCAAATGCTAATATAAATTGTGTTGCTAATTTTTAATAAAGTACATTATGATTAAAAATAGCACTAAAACGCAATCAATTATAACACTACGTACAATACAAAATAGTGATTTTCACGCTAAGACTTGATCCTCATTTGAACCACATTATATATATATATATATATATAATTTGATGCTAAATGTCATAAAATGAAAGCTTACCAATTCCAAAAGCTTAAGTACACAGTATACACACATATCGATTTTACCAAGTAAAAAATTTGACTGTAGGGTAAATAAAGTGAGAACTCGGATTTAAGCTAAATTGACAGCGGGGCAAATTTGTAGGAACAACAAAAAGTGAGACAATAGTCAACCTTCCACAACAAAAAGCAGCAAAAAGTTGAATGTGTCATAAAACAACAAATTTTTATGTAATAAAATTGAAGTCATTTCGCCTTTTTTATTTCAACTGTAAGTCATATGATCTGTACCTTTTCAAATATGGAAACAACAGTCTCTTTTTACGGACTTTGTTGTGTGCTGCATTTCTAAAAGCTTTATTTATCCCACTTTACACATTCAACAAAATATAAAAATAAAAAATAAAATAAAAAGTTGGTAGTGGGTTTGAGGAAATTTGAGGTCAAAACATATGCAAACGACAAACATGCGAATCTTTTTGAGTATTTATTATTATTATTGTTATTGTAATTTTCCGTAAAATTATTTTACAACTTGTGTTATTCGGTTACCTAACATTCTACCCTAATTCCAATCTCTGTCATGGCATCGGCTTAGTGTGTAAAGTCATCAAATTAAATATATAAAGAACATTCTATTTACTAAAATTAGTAATAAGAAAAGTCAAAGAACAATTAATGCATTATATTTCCATCAATTTTTTTAATTGAATTATTATTTTATTACTAAAAAACCGGTTTGCATTCATTCATCCTTAATTGATGCGTTTTACAATAAAATCGGACAGATATACTTCAAATAAAAGCATGTCTCATTTCAAATTTAAATTTAAATATTAAAATTTCTTATCATTTTGTTATATTAAGATCCTGAATAAATTGTTTGCCATAAAATCGGATAAAATAATAATTGCATAGAATTCAAGTAAAAACATGTCTCATTTAAAATTTAAATTTTAAATTCCTTATCATTTTGTTACATTTCTGAATGATTTGTTTTCCATAACATCAGACGGAATTAATAATTGCATAAAATTCAATTATGATTTCGAATTTATATCAAGGATGTTTAATAATTGCATAGAATTTCAAAGATGTTTATTTATTATAAAAAAATTAAATTCTAAAAAATATTTGTGTATATTTTGTAAAATATTTGTACAAAATATTTTACTTTAAATTTATTTACATAATTTAAATTAATTACATTAATAAATAATATGAACATACATTAAATATTTTAATTACATAAAACAAAAAGAAGAAGAAGATTACATCTATAACTTGTATAAATAATAATAATGACATTATATTACAATAAATTTTATAATAAAATAATATGAGTATTATACGAGGAACAAGATTACGTAAGATTGTTATTTTTCTTATATCAAGGAATAAATATATATATAATGAAATCAAATTTATATTATTATAAACAGGGAAAATTTTAAATTTAGTCCCACAGGTATAAGGGGGGTGACAATTTTTGTCCCGACGGAATGCAGAAAATATGAGTAGTTCCACATCTTTTAAAAAATGATCAAAAGTAGGACTTTTTCGCTGGATTTACTATTTCCGGCCTGGAACGCCACGTGGCATCCGACGTGTTCATATTTTTTTTACAAGTTTTGGGACTAGTTTTGAATTTTTTGCATTCCATCGGGACCAAAAATGTCACCCCTCTATACTTGTGGGACTAGTTTTGAATTTTTTCCTATCTACGTCGGATGCCAGCGTGTAAAAAATAAGCCACGTGTGCGCCACGTGTACGTCACGTGGCGCTCCGGGCCGAAAATAGTAAATCCGGCGAAAAAGTCTTACTTTTGATCATTTTTTAAAAGTTGTGGGACTATTCATATTTTGTGCATTCCGTCGGGACCAAAATTGTCACCCCCTATATCTGTGGGACTAATTTTGAAATTTTCCCTTATAAACATGTGAGAGAGATTATTATTAATTTACGGGCTAACGGTACCAGACTCAGGTTTAATGTTCCGACAAAAAAAAAATGACGTTGATGAAAAGATGTAAAAAGATAGATGATCAAACTCTATTATTTTTTAGGCCTGAACGGACAAGCCCTATGGTCCACTCATTTAATATCCCCGTGAATCGCACGAGCTACTTAACGGACAAACTCTATAGAAATGACGCATTTAATACTTCTATCCCGTGCGATTACGTACTAGTATATATTTGTAGACGACCTGATTATGCTCTTGTTAGTAAGATGGAAACTTCTTAATTAGGAAATGAAACCTAATTAAATAATACTGTATTTGGTAAAATTTCAACTGGCATATTATTGATTTGAAGAAGATGCAATTAATCGGTATAATTACATTTTCAAAAGATATATAGAGAACCTAATAATTACCATAATTATATTCGCAAAAGGTCATTTTGGAAACCATAAGACTGATTCATGTCATGAGTAGCAGGGCATAAATAATTATTCGAAATTGTACGTACTCATGATATTTTTGGTATATTGTTAAAATTATTTTCACATTAATAAATAAATTACTGAATTTACATTTTCCTTTTTGTTCTTGCCGGACGTTGATAAAACAGTTAAAATTTCACGTAGAAATTGACCGGGAATATATAATATATGATGACATGGCATATCATGATAAGGTTTCTACTCTCTCTCGGCCTCACCACATTCATTATTATAATAAATAAAATAAAAACCCAAATAAAAAAAAACGCGGCCGGTTCAGCTAGTGATCTCCGGTAAAGTGTCCGCCGCCGAGCCCCATCGCCGAGCTCATGGACGCGAACTTCGCCAGCTCCTGCGGCGAGAACGGCCCTCCCTCCCCGCCTTCTCCGCCGCCCATCCCAAGAAAATCCCTCGTCAGCCCGCCACTCTCCGCCGCCCTATGCATCCCCCTCCCACTAACCTGCCCACCAGGTGTTCGACCAATTGCCCCACCGTCAAAACCGTCCATAACCGCCCCGAAAACCTGGTGGAGCTCGCTCCTTCCCGCCGGAGCACCCCCGAAGGTCGAGGAAGAAGATGGGGACGAGCCCGAATTCATAACCCCAACAGTATTCCCAAAAAAGCCCGGCCCACTTTTTGTGGACCCCATTTGGGCCGCTTTCTGGAGAAGGGCCGTGGCAGACATTGGGGCCGGCCCGTTATTTTCCGAGCCGTAGAGCGAGGAAACTAAAGAGTGATCGACTACCATTTTCCCGCCCATCAATGGCTCCTCCTTCATATTGCTTTGCAAAGGAGATAAAGAGAGATTTGAATAGGTAGTAGTCCCCATCGATTGGGCCGGAGGCCCGAAAATATTATTCGGGCTATTAGCCATTTGGATCATGTCGTGGGCCATGAAAAGATTGGAACTTTGGTCCATATTCGGGTTGAGATGAGTATTTGCTTGGTGGTTTAGCCACAACGGGAGGCCGGGCTTGTGGTGGTCACCTCCGAGAATCGGGCCGAAGTCCGGCGAACGGAAGCCTTCGGCGAGATTCGGATTCGCAAATCCCAATCCGCCCATCAAATTATTATTATTACTATTATTATTGTTGCTGTTGTTGTTGTTGTTACGGTTCACAAAATCTTGGCTTCTGAAGTTGAAGCTATTGGCTCCGATATTCGTGAATCGCGCGCTTTCATCGGCTAACGCATCGCAAAAGGCTCGGTGTGTGATGAAACTATCCTTTCTACAACAAAAACAGAAGACAAAACACAAAACAAAACATTACATGTGGAGAAGAATGAAATTAAATACATGCTTGGAGCACTTATTACCTAATCATTTGGTAGATAGACATTAAATTGCAAAAGTGAGACAACAAAATTCAGGTGACAATGGCATTAGCATTAA